AAATCATTGCTTAATAAATAATAATGGACAATATAATATGTACTTGATTAAAATTTTTGATTTTCAATAAAGTTCAGTAATTTAAAATTCTTCAAATTTCCGTCTATAACACTGGTTTACAGCAAAAATGTTCAAGGGATGCCACTATCCAATTCCTATAAAGAATTGCTCGCTGATTCCGAAAATCGACTTAATTTTTTCTAAGTTTTCAAGATATTTTCAATTTACCGTTATTCAGCTTAAAACAAAAAGTGTTTACACTTAATCACGTATATCTTACGAATCAATTTAATAATCTCAATATGAAATACGGCAAATGAAAGCTAACAAAATTCTACATAGATACGTATATACATCACTTTTCGATAGGTCTGATAGTTTCTGACAAATTAATTAATCATTCCAGATTTTTTGTTTTTTTTTTTGATGAAAATTTTAAACAGGAGAAAAATTAAACTAAGAGGTTCTGTATCAAATTCTTGCAGTTGTGCTGAGGCCTGTTCTGTTACAAAAAAAATCAAGTTACTAATGAAGAAAATCAATGGATATATAAAGAAGTAAAGAGAGGCCCTAAGCCCGCACTGAAGAACTGGTCAGTAGTTTAAACATAGTTTAAATTTAAACTGAGTTTAACTAAACTTATATCAACTATGGGGAATAATTCTTGCCAATAATGTGCGCAGATGATCTTATGGAAACGGGTAGCAAGTCGTCACTAGAATCAGTAGAAAATGAATTCGATCTTTGAGCCCCTCATAAATCTCTTGTACACAAACGAAGACGAAATGATGATGATTACCATAAGATGAAATGAGTTTTTATTTAAATTGTCAAGTCCTAGAACTAAAGCAAAATATCATCGACGATTAGGAGGAAAAGAAAACTGTTTACTCAAAACTTTACGGACTTTCGAAAAAATACTGTCATTTACTGGTATCTCGGTGCCTGCTAGGCGCGTTTTTTCAAGAGCTGTTGCTACAGACACCGAGAAACGCAACCGCTTAACAATAAAACGCTTATCAAAGCTTTTGTTTTTGCAAACTTGGTTAAATAATAAATAATTATCACCGCTAAATATACTCGTTTTATTTTACTTAAGGCTAACTAACAAGATAATTAGAAACTTTTTATGTACTTCACTTCGCTGTAAAAAAGCGCCTTTAAAAATTGCAATTTTGTTTGGCTTGTGATTGATAATATGAGTAATTAGTCCATTGTTTAATTTTTTTTCCCATCCCTATATACCACAGAAGTTCATTCACTGTTAATGCGTGGAGCTTTCCTAGAATTCACATTCAGCTGAATACTGCGATCAAAAGGCAGGTCGATCACCGATCAACGGTTTGATAGCCAATGAATTAAGTGTTGCCGTCGACAATCACAACAGCTCCAAAGAAATTAGGCCAAATATTTACATTAAATAGTTGTCAAAAACATACAAACCAACTGATAAAATTAACCAAATAAATAGTGAGCTTATAAAAATTCTACATTTATGTAGCAATTCCTCATGTACGAAACCTGGCAGAACGTGGTGAAAAAAGTTTAACAAGTAAGAAAGTTTAAGTTCGGGCGGAGCCGAACATTAAATATCCGGCGCAAGTATTAAATATATGTTTTCCACCTTTTCGAAAGCTACCGATACATGATAAGCCGGGGTATAAATTTTAAGT